TCTGTTTGTGCAGTTCGCCCATTCATTCATGTGCAATGCCGCTTTCAGAGCTGCAGTTGCAACTGCAAGTCGCAGTCAACGTTCTCTCATTTCATTCATTAATGGCCGCATTTTTGCCCAGCAGTCTTCCGCTTTTTCATACTTATATACCCTATCAGAAGTTCCATTAGCCCACTCTAAAGGTTTTGAGTTTAAATAATATATTTGTAATTGAGGAGTGCCGATATAATCCCTACGTTAAACTAAATCTCTACTGAAATCTCCTTATCAGGTTTTAAAATATCTAAAGATTTGCATAAGCTACTTTAACATTAATGTTTCCGTAATTGTTTTTAAGGAAATTAAAAAAAAAAATTTTAATTGGTTTAAATTTAATAACGTTAGTGATCCAAGTGGGGCTCCATAAATATAGCCCAGTTGACTTTGTTGTATTATAATTTTGAGTTTTTTGATTAACTCAAGGTGTAACTTCTGGTAGGGCATTTAAGCATCGGTGCTGTAAAGTATTTCATATTGTTTTTAGTAGTTGTTCGCTCATTTCCATTGCACTTTTGTGTTTATTCAGTGGGAGGTTGGTATGTGTGTATGAGTAAGTTCGTCTGAGGAATATCTCGGTTGGGATTTGGGCTTGGGTTTGGATTTGGGACGTTTTCTTTTCTTGTAAACAGCCAAAAAATACGTCTTTTTTTGTTCTATAAGTTTTCTTCATCATGTAGTAGTTTTGAAGTAGTTTTTAAGCTCGTTGCTGTTTTGCATACCAAAAAAGGTTTGTAAATAACTCAAATTATTCATGTGCAGGTCAGTGATGTTTTGTGTAAATAAATTACTACATTTAAGAGCTACTAATCGCTAACAGTGTTTGGAATGAGCTTTTTGGGTTTGGATTTGTTTCGTTTCGTTTTGCACCCTGTTTTGTTTCTGTTATCACGCACATTTGCCTGTTAACGGCTTCCTGCATGCCACTATCAATTGATTGAATAACATTCTGCATTCTCTTTGTATTTATTTTCCATTAATTCAATCACACTCACATGGAGTACATTATGCCTGCCCTTAATAATAAAAGTCTCCTTGAATTGTGTCCAGACAATGTGCCCCATCGTTTGACCAGCTGGGAGTTTGTGGCCATCATCCTAGGCGCCACCCTCTTAATTTGCGTCACGGGCACAGGTACATGGTACTACTGCCAACGCCGAAAGCGCTTGGCCAGCGGCAGGCCGTTTGCCAAGGAGGATTCTGTGTACGATCCCATACTGAATGGTAATACTACCATACACGACATCATTGAAATGACCACCTCCGGTTCGGGTTCGGGTGAGTTCCATGGGGGGAGGATGGATCCACCTGCATATTTGACCAGCTCTGTACTCTTCGTTTCAGCTGGTCTGCCCCTGCTGGTGCAGCGTTCCATTGCCCGCCAGGTGCAACTATGCCAGGTCATCGGCAAGGGACGTTTCGGGGAGGTCTGGCGTGGACGATGGCGCGGCGAGAACGTGGCGGTCAAGATCTTCTCCAGTCGCGAGGAGTGCTCCTGGTTCCGTGAGGCGGAAATCTATCAGACGGTAATGCTTCGGCACGAGAACATTCTTGGCTTTATAGCTGCGGACAACAAGGGTGAGCTTATCAGCCCAGCTCTCATTCTCTGGTGGCTAACTCTTTTGGAACTCTTTTTCTCACAGACAACGGAACTTGGACCCAGTTGTGGCTGGTTACCGACTACCATGAGAACGGATCTCTGTTTGACTATCTAACCACGCACACGGTCGACACCAACACCATGCTGAACATGTCGTTGAGCATTGCCACTGGACTGGCCCATCTGCACATGGATATTGTGGGCACTCGCGGCAAGCCGGCCATCGCTCACCGCGATCTCAAGTCCAAGAACATACTGGTCAAGTCAAACCTGAGCTGTGCCATTGGGGATCTGGGTCTGGCCGTGCGTCACGTGGAGAAAAATGACTCGGTGGACATACCCTCGACGCACCGCGTCGGCACCAAGCGCTACATGGCGCCCGAGGTGCTGGACGAGAGCATGAACGACCAGCACTTTGACTCCTACAAGCGAGCGGATGTGTACGCCTTTGGCCTGATTCTCTGGGAGATTGCACGTCGCTGCAACATGGGCATGATCTACGATGAGTACCAGTTGCCCTACTACGACGCCGTGCAGCCAGATCCCAGCATTGAGGAGATGAAAAAGGCAAGTCTTTGACCGTATGCACTGTATGCAAAGGAACGAGTAGTCTAATGTTTTGTATCTCCTTTCAGGTGGTTTGCATTGAGAAGAGCCGACCAAACATTCCAAACCGCTGGCACGCCTCCGATGTGCTTCACAACATGGCCAAAGTAATGAAGGAGTGCTGGTATCCCAATCCCGTGGCCCGTTTGACAGCGCTGCGCATCAAAAAGACACTTGCTAGCATCAGTGTGGAGGACAAGGTCAAGAACTGATTGTGGCTCTAGTTCGAGGAGACGCCCCCGTGACCACCCATGGATCGGGATCGGGGGGAGACATACATTAGTAACCTGTAACCTGGCCCCGTGTTACCTTAAATGTCCTGGCAGCGCCTGCGAAGCAGTTCCAGAAACCCGTTAAGAAATGAATTACAAAGAAAATTGTAAATATTAAGTGCTAACTCATCATCCTTAACGTTTTCAATGCTTTGCTTTGTTTCCATACAGAACGAGCTCGTTATTAGTTTTGTGTTAACACCATCCTAAACTATTGTACATAAACTTTGTTGACATTTACGCTGAGATTTGCTTGTTTCCGGGCAGCGTGAGCAAAGCGGCGCCCCAAACGAATCTGCCGCACTGCCATTAGAGCTACCAGATGGGGCCTAGTTATATATACCAACAAACAAACACCTTTATATACACAATATATATTTTTTATAAATCCTGTTTGCAAGCGAGAGAATCCAGCTAACAAAACGATAAATACAAAACGATAAATACAAAACGAAAAATACAGTAAGACTTTGTCAAGACTGAGCAGCAGTAGAAAGCAGTGAGAAAACCGATTCAAATCACTGACAATTTGTTGCCTGCAAAATAGAAAAACAAAAAACAAAAACAGATACAGATCATCAGCAGAGAAGATAACTTTAGGCATAATCCAACAGATATAAAGTTGACAAACTCAGGAAATCGTAACGTAAAAATAAAATTAAAAGAATTAAACAATTTGGTGCGCCGCCTGCTCACGCACAGCTTGCCATGCCCACGTCGCTATTGCTGCTGCTGTGCCTCCTAAGCTTAACCTAAGCCAAGCCCTTCTCCCATAAGTGTATTTCCATATCGATTAAAGAACTTCTATTTGTAATCCTAAGTTAAAACTATTTTAAAATGTCTATATCAAAACTCTCGACTCTGGCAATCGACCAAAATTGGTTGCAGGTTCATCCTCACGCATACTTATTTTTTTTGTTATCTTATCTATCCATTTGTCGCATGTCCATTATTCCTTTTATTATTTCTGTTTCTTGTCCTCTTATAACCAAAGCTTGTTCTTCCTATTTTACTGTAGCCATACAAAATACATCAAAGTAAAAAAAAAAAACTATAAAATATTAAAAAGATTTATGGTATATTTATATATGAATTGTATACTATATTTGCTTCTATTGTAAATTCAAAGGAACTCAATGTTTCGTGAACAAAGCTAAACCACTAGTTTAAGTATGTGAACACACAGTTTGGTGTGCTAATTTCGGGTCATACAATAAGTTTAACATCGTAAAATAATTAATTTTTCACATCAAATGCCATAAAGCTTAATGAGTCCGTTATCAACATATACCTGTACACACACAAAACCATTATCGAAATGCAATAGTAGTTTCAACACAAACCATGTTCCCACAACCCATAAACACACGCCAGCTGAGAGATTAAAGTAAACATTAATTAACATTTTAATCATTTGGATGTAAGCTACAAGTAAGCAGTGCATGCAAGATTGTAATTAGGGTTATGATTATATAATGCATATTGTTATTTTTCGGCCTGCGAAATTTAATTTCCTATTTTATTTTAAGCCTTCCGAAGTTAATCATTTCCTGTACGAACACAATCGATTTCTTTGGGAAAAACAAATCTAAGCAAAATATTTTAAGCTGTATTTGCATACATATATTTAGTTTCTGAAACTATTCCTGTAATTGTAAAATCTGTAAATAGTCTGTGCGAGTCAAACACAAAAAAGAAACAAATTTCAATGAAGTGCGTTTATTGATAATTGTTTGCCAGTGTTCCAAACTAAGTTTAAGCAGAAAGTTGTTTCTAAGACAAACCCCAAAACAACCTACAATGTGGAGCATTTCCTAAAACCCACGACCTTAGTCCCTGATCCAAACCAAAAACAACTTACATTGAACTGAGTTTAAGATTCAATTAAAACCGAAGAACACAAATTCAACAGAAGACTTTAACAATGCGCAAAAACATATAAAAATTAATTTTACAAAAAAGATCCTATTTTGCTGCAAAATATAATTTTGGTTCAACATTTCAAAGATTTAAAGAACTAAAACGAAAAACTTTGTGCGAATTATGTTAGGCTCAAGTAAGCAAAATGTGTCTCAGCCATAAAGGAAATAGGCGAAAGATTTGTAATGTGTATTAATCGTAAATGGATTGGATCATGAGAGATATATAGAAAGGCAAAGAGAGAGATAGAGAAACGAGGAATGATTTACTTGGGTGTAATGTTCAAAACAAAAGCGTTGAAAGTGTAAACAGAGTCTAACTTTTAGCTTTAAGCTGCGTTTTTACTGGCACTTTAAATAAAAATACATACATAAAAGCAACCGAAAATATTTGTAAAAGAACTTACTTCGTTTGTTGTTAATTTTCTCTATTCCAGGCGTAAACCTAATTAATTAGTTATGGTGTGGGTTATGTGAAGTATATGAAGTTTAATTTATGTGTTTTGTTTTGCCCACTCAATCTCATAAATATTTCTGTGCCTTAAGCTTTTGGTTTTAAAGTGTTTTTCAATTGCGGTGGTTCTGTGAAATGAAATTATAAATTATTTTTTGTGCTAATTAGGTCAGCATTGACCGCTCACTTCCGATCCGACCATGTCCACGCAGTCAAAGGCATCACGGAAGTAGCCACAGCTCAGCTTAATGGCTGCACGGTGGTGCAACCGCTGGTGCTGGCAGCACATGCCACTGAAAAATGTAGTATTTATACCTTTTTTCAAGAAATCGACTTTCCCATACCATACTTACTTGATCACCTGGCAGTCGCTGCTGCTGCTGCACTCGCTGCCTAGTGGCTGCCTCTGCCTCAGTCCGAATATGTCCCTCAGGAGCGAGGTGGAACCTCCCGACTCCGGATCAGACTCGCACCGCCAGACGCCCTCCTGGGCGACCAGCATGCAGGCGCTGCCCGGTGGGCAGTCCGCATGCCGCTGGCACACGTCCCGCTGTCCGAACATATAAACGCATTTGCCTTCTGCAAAACATATTTTACACTCAACGAAATAAATGATGGGTCTTTGCTTCTTATTTTATAAGAACATCACAATATATCATTTTCAATTGGAATAATTACGCTGCATTTTGATGTGGAAAACAATTAAGTCACTAAACATTTCTTGCTTTAATAAAATTTGTGAAAATGGTTAATTTATGAATTTAAGAGTCATTCATATTTATTTTAAAAGCCATTTATTACACTTCATTTTGATATTAAACTATTTCCTAGCATTTCCTTGATAAATTTTAAGTTACAACGAAAGGACTCTTTCGTGTTTTATTTTTTTACAAGTCTCCTAAAACCTAAAAAAAACACCTAAAAAATCAGTTTTTCTATCAAAACGCTGAAAGTAATAGTCAAATGATGGAATGTCATACATCGCTGAATTCGTCATTAAATTGCCTATCAAATGGCATTCGCATTAAATATTTTTTCAGATTTTCAAATTTTTGAAAAAAATGATGACCCCCACCCTTATCAAAAATGCAAAAACTGGCCCAAAAATTAATTTCTTCAAAAAATCGATTTTTAAAAATCTGTTTTTGCACCAAAACAAAATTAATTTTTCTAAACCGATTGTGGATGGATAGTGTAGGTCGCAAACTATACAAAACAGTCACTCTTATGGCTATACGTCTAATTTTGCCAAAGTTACAACGAAATTAGTCTTTCGTATTTTATCTTTTTACAAGACTACAAAAACCTAAAATAAACACCTAAAAAATCAGTTTTCTATCAAAACGCTGAAAGTAATAGTCAAATGATGGAATGTCATACATCGCTGAATTCGTCATTAAATTACCTATCAAATGGCGTTCGCAGTAAATATTTTTTCAGATTTTCAAATTTTTGAAAAAAATGATGACCCCCACCCTTATCAAAAATGCAAAAATTGGTCGTAAAATTAATTTCTTCAAAAAATCGATTTTTAAAAATCTGTTATTGCACCAAAACAAAATTCATTTTTCTAAACCGATTGTGGATGGATAGTGTAGGTCGCAAACTATACAAAACAGCCACTCCTATGGCTATACGTCTAATTTTGTCCAAGTTACAACGAAAGGACTCTTTCGGATTTTGTATTTTGACATATCTCCAAAAACCGAAAAAAAACACCTAAAAAATCAGTTTTTCTATCAAAACGCTGAGAAGTAATAGTCAAATGATGGAATGTCATACATCGCTGAGTTCGTCATTAAATTGCCTATGAAATGGCATTCGGAGTTAAAAATTTTTCAGATTTTCAAAATTTTGAAAAAATTGATGACCCCCACCCTTATCAAAAATGCAAAAATTGGTCATCAAATGAATTTCTTCAAAAAATCGATTTTTAAAAATCTATTTTTGCAACAAAACTTAATTTATTTTTCTAAACCGATTGTGGTTGGGTAGTATAGGTCGCCAACTATACAAAACAGTCACTCCTATGGCTATACGTCTAATTTTGTCCAATTTACAACGAAAGGACTCTTTCGGATTTTGTTTTTTAACAAGTCTCCAAAAACCTAAAAAAAACCCCTAAAAAATCAGTTTTTCTATCAAAACGCTGAGAAGTAATAGTCAAATGATGGAATGTCATACATCACTGAATTCGTCATTAAATTGCCTATCAAATGGCATTCGCAGGAAAAAATGTCAGATTTTCAAAATGTTGAAAAAAATAAAACCCCCACCCTTATCAAAAATGCAAAAATTGGTCATCAAATGAATTTCTTCAAAAAATCGATTTTTAAAAATCTTTTTTTGCAACAAAACTTAATTTAATTTTCTAAACCGATTGTGGTTGGGTAGTATAGGTCGCCAACTATACAAAACAGTCACTCCTATGGCTATACGTCTAATTTTGTCCAATTTACGACGAAAGGACTCTTTCGGATTTTGTATTTTGACATATCTCCAAAAACCGAAAAAAACACCTACAAAATCAGTTTTTCTATCAAAACGCTGAGAAGTAATAGTCAAATGATTCGTCATTAAATTGCCTATCAAATGGCATTCGCAGTTAAAAATTTTCAGATTTTCAAATTTTTGAAAAAAATAATGACCCCCACCCTTATCAAAAATGCAAAAATTGGTCATCAAATGAATTTCTTAAAAAAATCGATTTATAAAAATCTTTTTTTGCAACAAAACTTAATTTAATTTTCTAAACCGATTGTGGTTGGGTAGTATAGGTCGCCAACTATACAAAACAGTCACTCCTATGGCTATACGTCTAATTTTGTCCAATTTACAACGAAAGGACTCTTTCGGATTTTGTATTTTAACAAGTCTCCAAAAACCTAAAAAAAACCCCTAAAAAATCAGTTTTTCTATCAAAACGCTGAGAAGTAATAGTCAAATGTTGGAATGTCATACATCGCTGAATTCGCCATTATATTGCCTATCAAATGGCATTCGCAGGAAAAAATGTCAGATTTTCAAAATTTTGAAAAAAATAATGACCCCCACCCTTATCAAAAATGCAAAAATTGGTCATCAAATGAATTTCTTCAAAAAATCGATTTTTAAAAATCTTTTTTTGCAACAAAACTTAATTTATTTTTCTAAACCGATTGTGGTTGGGTAGTATAGGTCGCCAACTATACAAAACAGTCACTCCTATGGCTGTACGTCTAATTTTGTCCAAGTTACAACGAAAAGACTCTTTCGGATTCTGTTTTTTGACAAGTCTCCAAAAACCTAAAAAAAACCCCTAAAAAATCAGTTTTTCTATCAAAACGCTGAGAAGTAATAGTCAAATGTTGGAATGTCATACATCGCTGAATTCGTCATTAAATTGCCTATCAAATGGCATTCGCAGTTAAAAATTTTTCAGATTTTCAAAATTTTGAAAAAAATAATGACCCCCACCCTTATCAAAAATGCAAAAATTGGTCATCAAATGAATTTCTTCAAAAAATCGATTTTTAAAAATCTTTTTTTGCAACAAAACTTAATTTATTTTTCTAAACCGATTGTGGTTGGGTAGTATAGGTCGCCAACTATACAAAACAGTCACTCCTATGGCTGTACGTCTAATTTTGTCCAAGTTACAACGAAAAGACTCTTTCGGATTCTGTTTTTTGACAAGTTTCCAAAAACCTAAAAAAACCCCCTAAAAAATCAGTTTTTCTATCAAAACGCTGAGAAGTAATAGTCAAATGTTGGAATGTCATACATTGCTGAATTCGTCATTAAATTGCCTATCAAATGGCATTCGCAGGAAAAAATGTTCAGATTTTCAAAATTTTGAAAAAATTGATGACCCCCACCCTTATCAAAAATGCAAAAATTGGTCATCAAATGAATTTCTTCAAAAAATCGATTTTTAAAAATCTTTTTTTGCAACAAAACTTAATTTATTTTTCTAAACCGATTGTGGTTGGGTAGTATAGGTCGCCAACTATACAAAACAGTCACTCCTATGGCTGTACGTCTAATTTTGTCCAAGTTACAACGAAAAGACTCTTTCGGATTTTGTTTTTTAACAAGTCTCCAAAAACCTAAAAAAACCCCTAAAAAATCAGTTTTTCTATCAAAACGCTGAGAAGTAATAGTCAAATGTTGGAATGTCATACATCGCTGAATTCGTCATTAAATTGCCTATCAAATGGCATTCGCAGTTAAAAATTTTTCAGATTTTCAAAATTTTGAAAAAAATTGATGACCCCCACCCTTATCAAAAATGCAAAAATTGGTCATCAAATGAATTTCTTCAAAAAATCGATTTTTAAAAATCTTTTTTGCAACAAAACTTAATTTGTTTTTCTAAACCGATTGTGGTTGGGTAGTATAGGTCGCCAACTATACAAAACAGTCACTCCTATGGCTGTACGTCTAATTTTGTCCAAGTTACAACGAAAAGACTCTTTCGGATTTTGTTTTTCTATCAAAGCGCTGAGAAGTAATAGTCAAATGTTGGAATGTCATACATCGCTGAATTCGTCATTAAATTGCCTAATTGGCATTCGCAGTTAAAAATTTTCAGATTTTCAAAATTTTGAAAAAATTGATGACCCCCACCCTTATCAAAAATGCAAAAATTGGTCATCAAATGAATTTCTCCAAAAAATCGATTTTTAAAAATCTTTTTTTGCAACAAAACTTAATTTATTTTTCTAAACCGATTGTGGTTGGGTAGTATAGGTCGCCAACTATACAAAACAGTCACTCCTATGGCTGTACGTCTAATTTTGTCCAAGTTACAACGAAAAGACTCTTTCGGATTTTGTTTTTTGACAAGTCTCCAAAAACCTAAAAAAACCCCTAAAAAATCAGTTTTTCTATAAAAACGCTGAGAAGTAATAGTCAAATGTTGGAATGTCATACATCGCTGAATTCGTCATTAAATTGCCTATGAAATGGCATTCGCAGTTAAAAATTTTTCAGATTTTCAAAATTTTGAAAAAATTGATGACCCCCACCCTTATCAAAAATGCAAAAATTGGTCATCAAATGAATTTCTTCAAAAAATCGATTTTTAAAAATCTGTTTTTGCAACAAAACTTAATTTATTTTTCTAAACCGATTGTGGTTGGGTAGTATAGGTCGCCAACTATACAAAACAGTCACTCCTATGGCTGTACGTCTAATTTTGTCCAAGTTACAACGAAAGGACTCTTGCGGATTTTGTTTTTTAACAAGTCTCCAAAAACCTAAAAAAAACCCCTAAAAAATCAGTTTTTCTATCAAAACGCTGAGAAGTAATAGTCAAATGTTGGAATGTCATACATACATCGCTGAATTCGTCATTAAATTGCCTATGAAATGGCATTCGCAGTTAAAAATTTTTCAGATTTTCAAAATTTTGAAAAATTTGATGATCCCCACCCTTATCAAAAATGCAAAAATTGGTCATCAAATGAATTTCTTCAAAAAATCGATTTTTAAAAATCTGTTTTTGCAACAAAACTTAATTTATTTTTCTAAACCGATTGTGGTTAAGTAGTATAGGTCGCCAACTATACAAAACAGTCACTCCTATGGCTG